TTTATCTCTGTTGTTGCTGCTGCTTTTTGAAAATGGAACCTTCTCGTCCATTGCAATTTCTAGCAGATTATATGTTTGTATGTATTAAGGCTATTGGCTTTTCATGTTAATTTTATATATAGCTACCTTACTAAATTATCTCATTTGAATCAGTTTTATTTGTTAGATCTTTTGTGTTTTCCAAGTCTACTGCATCCATATCATCAGCAGAGGCAGTTTTTGTTTCTTCTTTTCTAATCCTTGTATCTCTAATTATTTTATCTGTCTGCTTATATTGGCCAATAAATCAACATAATATCAAATAAAATAGAGATAGTGGATATCTTTGCCTCTTTCCTGGGTTTGGTGGAGGAAAGAAACTATGGTTTCAATATTAAGTAAATTAAGAACTGTACAGGTTTTATCACATTAAGGAAGCATCCATTAATTCCTATTGAATGCTTTACATAAAAATGTTTATTGAATTTTATCAACTAGATTTCTGGAGACTAAGGAGATGATAACATGTTTGTTTTCATAGATGTTTATGGATTCCCTAAAATTGAATTATCCTTGCATTCTTGGAATAAGCCTCACTTGATCATAATGTATTCTTTGTTTTTAATGTGCTGTTAGATTCAGTTTGCTGAATAAAATTTGGGAATTTTTACTTTTAATAACTTTTTAAAATTACAGTTGACATGGAATATTATATTAGTTTCACCTGTACAACACAGTGATTAGACATTTATATAAATTACAAAGTGATCACCTTGATAAATCTAGTGCCCTTACACTATACACAGTTATTACAATATTATTGACTATATTCCTTATGCTATACTTTTTATCCCCATGACTATTTTGTAGCTACTAATTTGTACTTCTTAATCCATTCACCTTTTTCACCCATCCCGCAACCCCCTTCCCACCTGACAACCATCAAAATGTTCTCTGTATCTATGAATTTGTTTCTGTTTTGTTTATTTATTTTGTTCTTTAGAGTCCACATAAAAGTGAAGTTATATGGCATTTGTTTTTCTTTGTCTGACTTACTCCACTCAGCTTAATACCTTCTAGGTCTATCCATATTTTTGCAGATGGCAAGATTTCATTCTGTTTCAATGCTGAATAGTATTCCATTGTATGCATATATGTACCACCTCTTCTTTATCCATTCATCCATTGATGGACCCCCAGGTTGCCGTCACCTCTTGGCTATTGTAAATAATGCTGCAATGAACATATGGATGCACAAGTCCCTTTGAAGTAGTGTTTTGGGTTTCTTCAGAAAAATACCTAGAAGTGGGATTACTGGGTCTTTCTTTGTCTCTTGTTATTACGGTCTATTTTGTCTGGTATAAGTATTGCTACCCCAGCTTTTGTTTTGTTTTGTTTTGTTTCCATTTCCATGAAATATCTTTTTCCATTCCTTTACTTTCAGTCTGTACATGTCTTTTGATCTGAGGTGAGTCTCTTGTAGCCAGCATATGTAAGGGTCTTGTTTTCTAATCCATTCAACAACACTATGTCTTTTCATTGGAGCATTTAATCCATTTACATTTAAAGTAATTGTTGATAGAGATGTAGTTATTGTCAATTTATTATTATTATTATTATTATTATTATTATTATTTTAAATCTTTTTAAAATTCTTCTTTTTAAAGAAGTCCTTTTAACATTTCTTGTAATATTGGTTTGGTGGTGATGAACTCCTTTAGCTTGTCTGGGAAGCTCTTTATTTCTCCTTAAATTTTAAATAATAGGTTTGCTGGGTAGAGTACCTTTACTTGTAGGTCCTTGGTTTTCATCACTTTGAATATTTTGTGCCAATCCTTTCTGGCCTGTAATGTTTCAGTTGCAAAATCAACTGACAGAGCTCCCTTTAGGTAGCTAGTTGCTTTTCTCTTGCTGTTTTTAAGATTCTCTCTTTGTCTTTAACCTTTGGCATTTTAATTATTTGTGTCTTGGTGTGGGCCTCTTTGGGTTCATCTTGTTTGGGGCCCTGCACTTCCTGGGTTTCTATGTTTATTTTCTTCAATAGTCCCTACACCTGACCACTTATTATTATTTAAAATTCATTAATATTAACAATGTTGAATATAAATTGGAGATACACTCTTTTGCCTTTCTGTGTTTCAAATTAAATGGAAAGATTATAGGCTGGTATAATTGGGTCAAAGGAAATTCCCATTTCATACTTTACTAGATACTACTGTGTTCTCAGAAAGGAACAGTGAAACTTTTAACTGGATGTAGAATTTCATCAATTTCTTTTTACTAGAAAAGATACTAAAAGTTTACCTTATTGTGATAAGACAGGAGAAAACATTTCTGTGGTTTTCGTACTTCAGGATAAAAGTACAGACAACATGAAAAGCACTGTAAAGAAGCTCAGATAGGGGAATCAAGGTTACCAGTATACCACTGGTGAGTTATATTATCATGATTTTAATGTCTCTATTTCTCATATGTAAAGAGAGACTAAAATTTTGAAGCTTACAGAATTATTATGATCATTCGAGATAATGAATATATAATTGTTATATATCTTAGCATATTGCTGCTGAAGTGAGCACAAATTTGTTATATAAATGTAAGAATTATAGCTTCATAGGAAAGTCTGTTTATAGTTGTAATTATTACAATCAGTTAATATTTAAAAAGAAAACTACTCACTTAACTTGTACACATAATATTTGATCTACTATGGGGAAAAAAAGAGTTAATTCATCCAGGTGAGATACAGCAATAAGGAGAGTAAATTTCTGAGTGCTATAGTGGGTCCTTTTGTACAAGACCTGGAGGCATTCCGACCCTTTCTCCCTTTCCTGCCTCTCAATATAGAAGCTGAGAAAGTATCATCATATACTCACATTTTTAGTCTCTTTTGTAGGTAGGGGTAAAATTGGTTCCAGCATTCAACACCTAAAGGGATGTTTGTGGGGAGAGGGAATCCTTTGGAAATTTCTCTTCACTCAGAAAAGAAAAGGAGAATAAAGAACATGTGGTACATATATACAACGTAATACTATTAAGCCATAAACATAATGAAATATTGCCATTTGTAACAAAAAGGATGGATCTTGACAGTATCATGCTAAGTGAAATAAGTCAGATGGAAAAGAACAAGAACCATATGAGTGCATTCATATGTGGGATATAAAACAGAAAGTAATGAGCTAACAAATAAAACAAACAAACTCAAAGATACAGACAAAAGAATGGTGGTTCCAGAGGAGAAGGGGGATGGGGAAAGGCCAAAGATAGTAAAGGGAGTCAAACATATTGTGATGAAAAGAGACTAGACTTTTGGTGGTGAGCACACAATGGAGTGTACAGATATTTTATTATAAAGTTGTACACCTGAAATTTATATAATGTTACTAACCAATGTCACTAAGTTAAATTTTAAAAATTCAATGCAATAAAAAGGAAGACAATCTGTCCTATTCCACTTCCTTTATTTCCTGTCTTTGAACATAGTTGGGTAAGGACATAATGCTTGTAGTGGGGATAGCCACCTTGAAGCAATGAGGCAACATGTCAGCATGGCATCTTGCAAGTAAGAGTCAACATTCTAAGAATGGCAGAGTAGATAGATGGAGAAGAATCTGGGCCTTAATGAAACTGTTGAGTCAAACCTAGAAACATGTATTACCAGAATTCTGAGATAAAAAACAAACATCCTTATAGTTTAAGCCTCTGATAGTCACATTTGCTGCTGCTAAAAGCACCTTAACCTTAACTGAAATAAGTAAAAACCAGTGCTTTACAAGGTATTACCTGTTGGGTTCCTTGTAACAAGTCTATGAGAGCTTTCCCTTCCAGAATGCTCAGGGCCCAAGATTTGGCTAATCCTAGAACCCAAATACCAGAGCCTAGCCAGGGCAGAGATGACCCTGAATAGTTACTGCCTTTATAGCCAAAAAGCAATTGTTTTTCTGTCTTGAGTTAGCGTAGTAAGGAAAAAACAAACAAACAAGCAAAAAAAGCCTAAGAACTAGAAAATTCAGCTGACTGACATGTTATCTTTCTTTCTTTCTTTCTTTCTTTCTTTCTTTCTGTCTTTCTTTCTTTCTTTCTTTCTCTTTCTTTCTTTTTTTAACAGATGAGAAAATAGGAGGCTCACAGCATAACTTAATAGTAAATAATAGTGCAAAGATTTGACCCACTGTCTAATTTCCAACTAGACTCATTCTAATTCACTAACACTATGCTCCTTCCCTCCTTCCACAGGGGAAGGACTGATTCTACCCATCCATGTAGAACTGCTTGGCCATCCAAGATATATTAAATTACAAAAAAGGGAGTAGACAAATATTATACTGTGATTACAAAAGGATTTTGACTTTTATAGAAGAAACTGGACAAACTTTGGGTTTGTTTAATATGCAATATGATAGATTAATAATGCATGCTGGCTTTTTGACTCGTAGCAAGAAGAATTGAGCTGCGGCTTCTTGCCATTCTGGCATATACCAAGACTGAGTTACACCCTACAGTAATTATGATACATAAAAGAAAAACATTATTTTGAAATTGTTGTGTTAGACCCAAACTCATTGTGCAAGCTGATGCCAACCACATATAACAAAAAGAAAATTAAATTACTTGAGAATGCAACCCTAAGAAAAGTAAAATCAAAAAATGATTATGTGTGCAATTTAAGAAACTGCAAGGTGATGGGCCTCCGCTATTTGGATTCTAGTTCAAAAGAGGAAAATGGTGCTCAAGAAATATTGAAGAGATTTTGTTTTCCAAAAATGTATCTGGATGAATATTGGCAATATGTAAGCATATATTCTCTCATCTGATGGAAGATAATAAAAAAACTGCCCATGAGACAATAGTTCAAGATGACAATTTTTTCACCACCACTAATGAAACAGCCTCATTACTATTGAGATGACCATGTTGTCATGGTAGTCAGTGATTTCTAGAACCACATATCAGGAAGTATTAAAAAAGTGGGGAGGACACAAGAAGAGTCATGTTCATAGAGTCAGCACTATGCTTTTCAGAAAAAATATATCATTTCCGTCCATGTTGGAATATAAACACACATACACCCTTTGAACTAAGAGTTAATACAACTAAAGTATAAATTTTATTTTTTTAGATTCACTGGGATTTGGGATGATGCTGTATTTAAGACAAAAAGAAACAAGAATAGTTTTCTAGTGAAAAATATGATTATCAAAATAGAAAATGCAGTGGAGGCAGCGTAGAGTACACTGGCTATGAGAAACAAACAAAAAACAGAAAGAGTGAATTAAACGGTATTATTCCAGAACTCAGGAGAAAATAAACAAAACACATAAAGTGATAAAAAGACTAATGAAAGAATAACAAATTTGGGGACAGATGTGAGAAAACCAATACATGTAAGTAAAGCGATTCTGTAAGGAAAAAAGAGAGAATATAGAATATCAAACCTGCAGAAATAGTAGATAAAATTTCCCTAAAACTAGACATAACTTGGAGACATTAATTAATAAAATTCAAAGATAATGAAAACAACCTGCAAAAACTTGAGTTGAAAAAAATTATTGAAACTAAATCAAAATTACTTTAGGTATTAGACTTCTCTGCTAAAACCTTAAATGCCATAAAAAATTTAAGTAAAAATATTATTTATTACCCAATGAATTAAATATCCCCAAAGTTGTCATTACATAAGACAGCAATAAGTAGATGTTTAAAGACATTCAAAGTCTCTGAAAGTATACCACCGTAACAGTACCCTCTCTCAAAAAAATTAGTTGAATACATTGTTTAGCTGACTAGAACATAAACTGAATCAAAATAAATGATTCAGGTCAATAAGAATATTAGTATAAAAGAAGTTGCAGTGAATAATAAAATGAGTAGAATAATATGTTTCTTTTTTAATAGAAGACCTTGTGGCAAAACTACTTACAAGTTTGTACAAACACACACACTATAAAAATCTGTGTTTTAACAAGTGAAGAAGTTGACCTTTTAGAGGTTTGACTCAGCATGATGAAAGAAGGAAAAACTAGAAACCACCCAAGCACTTAAAATACTTTTCAACATACCGAGTGGTACCTAAATAAATACTTCTGCAATAATAATAATAATAATAATAATAATAATAAATATATATACAATTTATATATAAATTATATCTTTCTATATATAGATATATTTTTTTCCAAAGTGATGAAAAACAAGTGCCTACAACCCATCAAGGCTATCACTTAAAATTGAAGGCAAGATCAGGAACTTTCCAGATAAGAAAAAGTTAAAGGAATTCATTACAACCAAGCCAGTATTACAAGAAATATTAAAAGAACTTCTTTAAGAAGAAAAAGAGGGAAACAAGCTAACTAAAGAAGATAAAAAATATGAATAATAAAATGGCAATAACTATGAACCTATCAATGATCACTTTAAATGTAAATAAACTAAATGCTCCAATCAAATGTCATAGGGTAGCTGAATGGATAAGAAAGCAAGACCCATACATATGCTGCCTACAAGAGACCCACCTCAGATCTAAAGACACACACAGACCGAAAGTAAAGGAATGGAAAAAGATATTTCACACAAATTCAAGCAAAAGAAAGCTGGAGTAGCAATATTTATATTATATGAAAGAGACATTAAAATGAAGACAATAATAAGAGACAAAGAAGCACATTACATAATGATAAAGGAATCAATCCAACAAAAGGACATAACCCTAGTAAACATCTATGTATCCACCATAGGAGCACCTAAATATATAAAGCAAATATTGAGGAACAAAAAAGAAGCAATTGACAGTAACACAAGCATAGTAGGGGAATTTAACACCCCTTTGACACCAATGTACAATTTTTCAGACAGAAAAGCAACAAGAAATCAGTGGCCTTAAATGACACACTAGACCAGATAGATTTAATTGATATTTTTAGAGCATTTCACTCCAAAGCAGTAGAATATACATTATTTTCAAGTGCACAAGGAATATTTTCCAAGATTGATCACACGTTAGGCCACAAAACAGGTCTTAATAAGTTTAAGGAGACTAAAATCATATCAAGCGTCTTCTCTTACCAAAACAATATGAAACTAGAAACCAATTACAAGAAAAAAAAACTGAAAAATACACAAACACCTGGAGACTAAATAACATGCTACTGAACAATGAATGGGTAAACAGTGAGATCAAGGAATGTATCAAAGACACCTGAGACAAATGAAAATGAAAATAAAACGACTCAGAATCTATAAGACACAGTGAAAGCAGTTCTAAGAGAGAAATTCATAGCAATGCAGACCCACCTCAAGACACAAGAAAAATCTCAAATAAATAATCTAACTTTACACTTAAGGGAACTGAAATAAGAACAGCAAACAAAACCTGAAGTGAGTAGGAGAAAGGAAATAATAAAGATCAGAAAGGAAATAAACAAAATAGAGGCTAAAAAAACAATACACAAGATCAATGAAACCAAGAGCTGGTTTTTTGAAAAGATAAACAAAATTGACAAACCTTTAACCAGACTTATGAAGAAAAAAAAGAGAGATGTCACAAATAAATGAAATCAGAAATGAAAGAGAAGTGACAACGGACACCACAGAAATACAAAAAAAATTAAGAAAATACTAGGAGCAATTATATGCCAACAAATTGGACAATCTAGAAAAAATGGATAAGTCCCTAGAAGCATGCAATCTTCCAAGGCTGTATCAAGACAAAACAGAAAATCTGAACCAACTGATTACTGCTAATGAAATTGAATCAATAATCAACAAGCTTGCAACAAACAAAAATCCTCAACTGGATGGCTTCACAGGTGAATTTTACCAAACAGTCAAAGAATTAACACCTATTCTTCTCAAACTATTCCTAAAAATTCAAGAGGAAAGAAGGCTTCTAATCTCATTCTACGAGTCTACCATTACCCAGATTCCAAAACCAGACAAAGACATTATAAAATAGGAAGGAAGGAAGGAAGGA